CAGCCCATGCGCCCCCGACGCCCGCGCGTCGCGCTCGAGACAGCCGCCGCGCGAGACCCGCCAGCGGCGGTAGGACGTCGCCGACCAACGCACGGAGCATCAGGGCACGGCAGAGCAGTTGACCACCCTGATTGATGCACATGCTGCGCGAGGCATTGTAACTGACGACGCGACGGGCGGCGCGCACGCGGAGACAGAATCGCCCAGGTGGATAAATACGCCCGGCATTTCGCACGGTGCATGCAAGAGCGGGCCCCTCCTACCTTCCATGGAGCCCCCGCCGGGCACGCAGGCGCTCGGGCGGCTCCTGGGGCTCGGCCGCGGGCCCGAAGCGGGAACCGCGCGGATCTCTCGTGAACCTCGCAGGTCGCGCAGCAAGGCAACGATGGACAGATCGACCTCACGACGATTCAATCCGGCCATGCAATTACGAATTACAACAACGTCAACAGCATTCCCCCTTTCCAACTATGCCCAGAGGCCCCCAGGCCCGACGAGGTCAACCGCGACCCGGCGCCGCTGTCCGATCCGGCTTCCGCTCAGTCATTCAAACACTTGCTGACGCAGTTCCGACCGCCTGATTTTGAGGGGCATGCCACAGACCGTCTGGAAGCACGATCAGCACATCAGCGGAGCCTTGGAGACCGATTCCACAGCCCGCGCCACTCCATCGGGTAGAATGCCCAGACAGAGCGGGACTAGCAACTCCACCCTCGCCTCGTAGGAGGATTGGCCGCTCTGCATGCGACTGCAGCGACGCCGACTGGCGAAGGCTAACCAATTTTACTTGCAGGCGTCGTTTTTTTTTTCGGGGTAGCAATGGCCGACAGCAGCGCCTGTTCGCTCGGAGTTAACCATATTCGATTAAAGACAGCGGACGAAAGCCAGTTTCCCCATCGCTCTCACGCCGGCATCGTCGAGCAGCCGCCTGAGTTGTTGCAGCTAGTCTTCGACGCCAGGCCACAGCAGCGCCATTAGGCCACAGCAGCACCGCTAAGGCAGCAGGCCCAACTCCGAAACCAGCGCGGCAGAAGAAATATATCAAGCCAGGCCCCATACAGGATGCTCGCCACCTTGGGTCACATGCATCCGCTCTTGGCGCTTTGGGACATCCTGCTGGGAGCTCAGGCTTGCCGACCATTTCACTCTGAGCGCATGCCCCACCACGCCGCGCTACTCATCCGACACTCGACGGCAGACGACGCAGCGGTACATTCTGCCAACTAGGTTCAGGATGCGACGCGTGCCTGGTCTAAGCATCAGCGTCACGCGGCGTTTGCCAAGTTGCGGGGCATGGGAATCGGGCCCCAGATTAGGCCAGCAGAGCTCTCCACGCGGTTGAAGTCGAGGACGGCGCGATTGTCGCCGCGCACGTGGAGGCAGCGGATCACTGGCATCGCGATTTCGCCGACGAGGAAGTAGGAGTTGTTGCGCCAGGTCAGGAAGCCCAGCTTCAAAGCCCCCCCCCACACACACACACTCTAACACCTCTGCAGGAGGGCCTCTTCATGGACTTCCCACCAGTCGATCTCACTGCGCCGCCCCTAGCCGACTTTTCGACGGCCCCGACAATACCTCGCAGGATAAGCTTATTGCGATGCAGTCAGTGCTTCGACTCGAGGAGCCGCGACAGTGCAAGGGAGGAACAATGGGAACATTCGGACTCGCAAGGCGAATCCGGCGAAGTGCCAGCATCGCGGGTCGAGCATGACCCCCTTTCCCAGGCTGGCCAAAAGTACCAGCGGCTTCTCAGGGGCACCCCGGCGCGCGCCCTCCCCGACAAGGCTGGGGGCTTCATAGCGCGGAGGCATTGAGTGACGAGGAGTGGGCTTAGCAGCACTGGAACTACGATGCTTCAAGGAGTTGGTTCCTCGGTATAAGACACCTGCGCTGCTTGTCGTGATTGATGCCACCCCGGCTCTCTATCGCGTCACGCGCGAGCTCGCGCTCCAGCTGGGATCCAGCTCCGATGATTTTCGCCCCATCGACAAGTCCGCGGGGCTCCCAAGTCCGAGGGATCTCAGGCGGCACATTGCCACTCATCCCACACTATTGCGGACGGCAGGGGCATCCCAACGCGCGCGCGCCAGCCGCCGACAAATGCCGCGCTTCTGGGTTCTGGCACCTTGGGACCAAAGTTTTTGCCGTCACGCTGTCTGGGGCGGTCGTGGGACAGCAGATCGGGGATGCCGCTTTCATTTGCGCCGCGTGGGCATGCGCCGAGGAATGCCAAGCAGGCCACGCAGAGATGGAACTGGACATCCGAGCCCCCACACGCCTCCACTCGAGCCTTCCAGAGCTGCTCCACGAAGAACCAGATCGCATGCAAGGGAGGCTGCGCATGCACGTATTCGACGACGGGGCTTCTGTGCGTCCGGCGGCGCACGTTATCCAAGCCGCCCCCCGAATTGCCGAAGTTGCCGCTGCCAGCCCCATCTTCCGAGGTCCCAGCTTTATTTCTTTATTTTTCAGCTGGCACGGCAGAGGCACCGGGACCGAGCTGGGCAAACTGGGATTTGCGGGACCCGAACTGGCCCACTTGGAGGTCACACTCTGACTCTCAGGTCAACAACCCGACGACGGATTTTTGCATCCGACAATGCCCAGCCGAGAGTGGCGGCGCTGCACCTGATGGACACGCGATTTTCTACGGTCTGTTGCTCAACGCAGGGTCCTGGGCCTTTCCCGGAAGCGCCGCGCGCACACCAACAACGTCATGCGAAACAAGTACAGACAAGTCCTGGTTTTAAACAGCGGCGAATGCAGCATGTGATGCACATGAATTTGCACGAGCGAAGCGCGACAATTTGCACGCCGTGCTCCGACTGCACCGCGGCAAACCCACATTACGAAGTCTGGTTGCGAACGCATCTCGCACGGCGACTACGCGACATAGCACATCATGGGCACATCGCACCCTGGACGACCTGACATGGCCACGCAGAGAACATGCGGCATGTAAGGACCTACTGGGCCCACTGGAGGACACTGCAACTAGGAAAAGCACATGTCGTGCTCTCCACCTGCCTGGCTTTGCGGCCTTGACTTCGCCGCGCAGGCAGGCCAAGGCGCCCGCGCGGGCAGCACTTTCCAAGTGCGCACATGGTCATGCCAGCAGGAGCCCCACGCCCTACTGCGGATCCAGAGCCCCCGCGGTGCCCGACTCCAGCTCCGACTCCGGCTCTAGAACGCATGCGGCGCGGCCGCCAAGTGGCACCCAACAGAGGCATCAGGCATCATAGCCAGGTTCACATCGCATCGCGATTCACGGGGAAGGGAGCCACGCGTAAGGCTCGCGCAGTGGCCCATGCTATCCGCGGCGCCTCCCGCGAGGATAGAACACCCCACCCGCCCGACAGACAGCCCATCAGCGACGCTGGTCTCTGCTCCTTCAACGAAGAATGCTTCGAGGGAAGTGCTGCAGACTCCCGAGGCTTGCTACGAGCTATGCCCAGAGACCTTTTCAGAACCACAGAAATCCCCCCCAGCCCTCCGACGCCCTATCCAATGTGCAGGCCGGTTTGGGAGGCATCGCCCCCGGGACTTCGACGAGTTTGCAGCGTCCACAGTGCCGCGTAGAATGCACGGGGTCACAGCTTGCCTGCTGAACCTATTGTTTGGTCGACGGATGGAGGAAAACTCGCAGTGCGGATGGAGCAAAGCTCCTGTTCGGCCTCACATCAGGCAGTGATTCTTAGCGTCGACATCACCATGAACAGCGATTGAGGGGATCTGACACAAAAGGCCTCAAGTCAGACTCATCTTGTCACAGCGCGCGCGGAACACAGGGCGGGGGGGATGGCTGGATGACTCCTTCCCCCACCTCCCTCTACGCACCAACGATTAGTTCTGGGGCATCCCGCAGGCGAGAGAGCGACAGGCGCCACAGATGGAGGTCGGTTTGTAGAGCATGCTGCATCTCAAGCACCAATCAGCATCTTCTGGGAGCCCTTGGAGGCAATGCGACCGAGCCCGATTTGTCTCGCGGCTGGCTATGACCAGTCCGCGCATCACCACCTTGACCCGAGTGAGATCGGGAAGGCACTTGCACGGATCATTGGGTTGCGGATGCCCACGTTTGCCTCGCGTCTCCCCAGCGCCCGTGACAAGAAAAGGCGATCTCACCCCAATGTTTCCCGCTTGGTCATCCAGGGCAAGGCCTCCACGGGTGAGATCCACATCGATCGGATTTGTTGTTTTGGTACGCAAATCGCCGGAGCTATAGCAGATACGCTGGTGTTACTGATGATTAATGATTGTGGTGTGACATCTGAGGACGGAGACCTTTGCATGGGTTGTGGGAGCTCAAAGTTCGAGAGGAGTGTGATGATTCCACAGAGGCATCTAATTTTTTCGATTGCGAAGAAGGAGAGGTGCTCGTGTGGACCCTGAACACCAAAGATGTCGGGCCTGGCCCAGTATGTTGATGAACCGACTCCGACTTGCGAACCGACTCCAGATTTTGAAGGCCCCCTCCCCCTCGTTCCACTGGACATGGGCTAAGCGCATGAGGCTGAGGATTTCTTGGGCACCACCCTCCCTCCCCCCCCCCGCGTCCGCCTCCTCCCCCACCTCCCTTCACCTCCGAGCAGCTGGGCTTCATAGCTGCCAACAGGGTGGAGGCCAGACGCCGCCGGGGGGCCAAACGCGTTGCCGACAGACCTGCAGAGGTGGGCGCCCTGGCGAGGCTCCCATCAGTTCCGAGGGCGTCTTCGAGGCGGGCCCCCGCCTCCCCTGACCTTTCCTCCTTACGCGCTCGGAGGATCAGACGCCTAATCTCACATCGTCGGAGCGCAGCGTCCGCGCTCATGCCACCGTCCCACCACATATCCTCCTTCTCTTCCTCCTCCTCCCCCTCCTCCTCCTCCTCCACCACTTCCTTCTCCTCCTCCTCCTCCTCCTCCTCCTCCTCCTCATCCTCATCCTCATCCTCATCATCATCTCCATGCATCCCTCCTTTGCACACTGTGGCTGCGCGGGGCATGATGGGAGCGGCGCAGGTTCAGCTGCCCTCGCCCAACATGGCCGTCGCCGGCTGCTGAGACGCCGCGTTTTCGAGCCCAGGCCTTGCGCCACGCAGGCCAAGCGCCGCAGGCTTGAGGTCGTGACCTTCTCTCCCCTGGACACTCGAATAAGGAAAAGCGGCATAAACATAACTTCCGAGGGCCCGCGCGAATTTTCGTCGTTGGGGCCCCCCCGGCGTGCTCCGCGCGCCATCGGGGGGGTCCAGCGCCGATCCAAGGAATCCGCGCGGATCTCCAACAGTTTATGTTCATGCCGTTTTCAGCCTCAGAGGATCGAGGCCGTAACCTGCCCTCGTTGCATCAGGGGCAGCGCTGGCGGGGAATAGGTTCAGGGGGGCATGCGTCGACCCACAATCGCCCACTGACCGCCGACAAGGGCCCGATGGGCCACCCGCGCCCAGGGCCGCGCGGATTCGCTGTCCGGGGCTTGTCGCCGACCCGTCGGCGAGGCACCCCCTCCTCTCTTGGAGCCGGCCGGCTTTCTGGCGATGACTCTCATTGGACCCCGTCCCAAACGTGCTCGCGCGTCCGCGGGCCGCCCGGGGCCCATGTGGGCCAGGGGGCCGCGTGCCCGATGGCGAAATTGTTTCGGTGGGGGCCCAAAGGCACTGCCCCTCCTCGTCTTCCTCCTCGTCCTGTTCTTCGTCGAGGACGCTGAAGAAATGCCTTGACGAGAATGTTCCCGGTGTGGTATGATGTTCGGTTCTCCGACCGCTGAAGATTCTCAAGATGGGCAGACGTTTTACGCGCTGCCGCGAAATACTTCGGGCCCCTGCGAATTCTTTAATTCCAGCATCTCAAGGAGGATCCGAACTCACTCCGCCCAATCCAACGTCAAAAAATGGGGCGGAATGGATGTCCGCGCGGATGATAATTACCCCGCCCGCTCCGCCAGGTCCGCCATTGATGGAGATTCCTGCCCCGATGATGTAAGGACCACTTTGGGCTCAGAGGGGGTTCCGCTTGTCTGACCGTTCGGGATCTAGTTCGGGGATTGTTTACGGCCGATGCCCGTCGTGGCGAGAAAAGCCCCGTCGTTCATTCTGCAGCGTTTCTTACGGTAGCACGATGGCTGGAGATGGGAAGGGGGTGCGGAGATGTGTGCTTGAGTAGAGGAGACCGCATGAACATCAGTTGTTGGAGGTTTGCGCTGGTTTCTAGGATCAGCGCTGGACCCCCTGGCGGCGCCTCTGGCGCCGCCCTTGGCGCGTCCCGCGAGCTGGGGAGGGACCCAGCGCCGAAAGGTAATGTTTCTGCAGTTTCTACGTCTTCTGGAGATGATCGATTACCCATTCAGTTTCGGTTGAGTTCGGCAGGTATTTAGTTTCGGATGCCAGAGCTACCCACTCAGATTTTGTTGATATCGGTTCATCTTTGTTCCGTTTGGTATCGCCCATTGTTTCGGGAGGTTGCCAGCGTGGCGCGAACATGCGAAAGAGACAAATGCGGGCAGGATCGATAGGGTGGAGCGAAAGCTACGACATCGACCGCCCTTCGTCAGTAGGGGGAAGGACAGTGCCGTAGCAGTTACTTGATGGTGTTCCAACTTAGTTTAGCCTTGATCACCAGAAACAGTTTCGAGCGCCACGAGAGTACCGAAACTGGAGGGCCCTGGAGAGCGACACCCTTGGGCAGGTTTTCACGTGTCGGACCCTTGAAGGTGACACTCGTTCGACGCTTCGCCAGCTTTTCGGGCAGGCTTTGTTTCGATACGTGTGCTGGGTGCTCGAAATTATGTTTGAGATGTGGTCCGAAAGTACGATGGGAACAACATAATAGTTGTCACCTAGCTGCGTTTTGAAGGCCCCTCTTCGCTGGCAGCCTGCCCCGATCTGCGGCTCCCCAGGGGGGAGAGAGTTGCACCAGGGGGGATCATACGGAAGGCGCACGGCGAATCACCGCCGCCCCTTGCCTTTCAGGATACGGCTATGTGTCAAGCGTTTGGGCAAAGTTTGGCCAAGCTACTATTGGACCATGCGTTCCCCCAGCCGTTGTGCAAGCCTTTCGGGGAACACATGGGGAGGAAGAGGAGGATGAGGAGAGGGAGGAAAAAACAGGATGAGGAGAAGGATGAGGAGACCTCTTGAGAGCTTCTTGGGTCATTCTCGGGGCCTCCTGGGAGCTTCCTGGGGGCCTCTTGGAGGCCTCTTGGGAGCCTCCTTGCTTTTGGGGGCTTCTTGGGTTATTTTGTTGGCCGTGGTACGGTGTTCCTGGCCCGACTGACGTTGCCAGAAGCCGTCTTGCGAGCTTATCTGGGCCGTCTTGGGTCCTTCCTGGGGCGCTTCAGAGTCATCTTGAAGGCCTTCTTGGACGTCTTGAAGGCCTCCCGAGCAGTCGTGGGAGCCTCTTGGGCCGTCCTCGGGTTATCAGGGATGCCTCTTGGGCGATTTTCGGGCCATATTGGGGGTCTCATGGGCCGTCGGAAGGCCAGCTTGAAGCAAATGCCAAAGTCCTTCACACATTTCAGGATCAAGCAATGAGTTCGGCCTCTTCGGGCCTTCCTGGAGGACCTCTTGGAGGCCACGGGGGATGTCTTTCTTAGGGGCATCTTGGGCGCTTCTTGGGCCGTCTTGGGGTTTCTTTGAACATCTTGGCGGTCTTGGGAGCTTATTGGGACCGTCTTGGAGGCCATTATTCTGCCATTTTGGGCTCTCTCGGGGCCCTCTTGGCTGTGTTGGAGGCGTCTTGGGACCATCTTGGAGGCCATTTTGGGCCATCTTAGCCGTGTTGGAGGGTGTTTGACCAGCGAGAGGTTAATTTTCCCGGACTTTGCGGTTGGCCCGCGGGTTTGGCCGAGACACCACATGGAATTATTGTTGGAAAAGAACCGAAACAGTGCCAGACGTTTGGCACGCCGTGCATCCTTGTGGCAAGCCCATCCCGCCACCTTGCTTTGGACCGATCGTTCAGCGACCCGAGGCCCTCTTGGACCGTCTGGGAGGCCGTTGGGGGCTTTCTTGGCCCGTCTTTGGGCCCTATGGGGTCCGAAGAAGTGATGTGGGAAGACGCCCCGGGCGTCCCAGAAGCCCACGGAGAGTTGAGAATGTGGGATCTGGATTTGTTCAAAGATCCTTCGGATAGGCTCAGGGGATTGAGCAAGGGACTTGAGGACACTCCGATTCGTGCCTCGCAGGCACGCTGGTGGATCAGCGTTTGTCGAAACAACAAAAGCATAAACCTTCGTGGAGCTCTTGAATCGACTCTGGGCCCCCTGGCGGCGCCTCTGGCGCCTTCCTTGGCGCAGCCCCTGGCGCCACCCCAGGCGCGCTGCGCGCGCCAGGGGGATCCATCGCCGATCCAAGAAGTCCGCACGGACCCCCGAGAAGTAAATGTTGTGTCCCTTTTGATGTGTGTATATATGTATATATGTATACACATGTGTATGCGCGTGCTCGCTTTTTAGTCACAGACACCGCCTGGCTGGAGCATCCCGAAGAGATGGTCCGAGGGAGATCGTTCGGGCGTCTTGCACGTTTCACGCGAGCATGGACTAGCGTGGCGTATTGTATGATATCAAATGTGTGATCCCATGCGCGATATGGCATGGATCGACAATGATTTCTCCGCGCGGATACCTCCAAGATGGACGATCCACCCAAATAGTTGGTATTTTCCTGTCGCACAGTTCATTATCAAACGCGTTGGCCCCAGCCTGGCGACTTCTGCGCAGTGGCATAACCCCGTTCGTTTTTCTCTGACCCTTCGCATCTGCATCATTCGTTCTCGTAAGTAGCGGTGACAGCTCTCGAGGACGAAAATAGCGCAGTCTTGCTGGTGAATTCGCGGTGTGCAATTGTCACGATTTGCGTTGCTACTCACTTGTTCCTACGGGTGACCGCGTTGTGTGTCCTGAGGAAGCAGTAAGTTTACAAGTTGTGTTGTACCGTGCATTGGGAAGGGTAGAAAGTGCACATTCCCTCCCCCACCCCCGTCGCCCGTCGCCTCCACTTCGTTCCCCTCTCTGCATTATCATCGTGCTCCACCCCCTTCACGTCCACGCATCTTCTTGCGCTGATGCTCTGTCGAACTTGACCCGCGCGGTGTCGCAAAGCTAGAATCAATTGATGACGAATCAAGGTCAGGTGAATTGATGGATTACGTGCCGCGCAGCACCAGAGCGCGTAGTCAACATATTGATGTTCGAATGGCACGTTCGGCAGGGCATGGGCGCATGAGCAGCAGCAGGGGAAAGGGAAGGGAGCGGCAGTGCGGTTCCCCCTTGGAGCCTTGGGAGGGGGACATTTTGAGCCTTATTGGGGGAGTGGGCGCCTTGGGGGCCTCGTGGGCCGTCGTTTGAGCCTGGTGGGAAAGAGTGCAGGGTGGAAAGAACACATTGTTATTGGAGTCGGTATTCATCAGGGCCTTCTCCGATGAGAAGAACGAGGCCTTTAAAACACAGCGACCCGCAGAAATTGCATTTTACGGGAAGGATTTCCTGTAAAGAACGGATCCACCCATCCAACCGCTTTTCGGCCAGTTTTGGCGTGTGCGGCCCATGGTTTGGCCTCGGCAAGGCAAGACAAGCGAGGCGGTCTCCAACATAGCCTCTTAGATGACACGTGACGGTCCCAGATGATCACCACGAGGCTTCCAAGCGGACTCCAGACCGCCAAAGGATTGCCGAACGTTGTCATGGGGACTCCCCAAGATGGTCGCGAGAGGCCAAAGCATGGAATCATTACAGTTCTCAATGATTTGATTTGTACGTTGTTTCTGCTTCCAGTATGCCTTCAAGGCCTCAATCTGGCCCCAGGGTATGGGGGGGGGGGGGGCAGATACCCCCATGAAGACCTCAAATGCGCCTTAAGAGGGCCTCGGTAGAAATCGAAATCGCGAACGCAGACCCCAAGGAGCACCAACATAGCTCCAACAGAGCCCCGACAGGGCCCAAGCAACTCAAACGGGACCCCCAGAGCTGGGTAGACGTCCCGAGAGACCCCCCGACCCTCAAACCCGAGGCTCCGCCGAAAAAGAATTCCCATGTGTGCCTCGTCATTAAGGGGGCAGCGAACGATTGAGGTGGAGGATGCAGGGATGTGAATGAGTTGACGCAGGAGGATGAGGAGGAGGAGGAGGAGGAGAAGGAGGGTGAGGAGGAAAAGGGGGCAGGAGGAGGAGGAGGAGGTTGGTCCGAGGTGGCCACCGTGCTAGATTGTCATACGGCCCAGAAGCATGGGAGGAGGCGTGGTGGCAGGACGACGGGCCCCCTCCCTCAGGGATTCAGTGTTGGCAGAGAGGAGCGAATGGTACACCCCCTCGTCGTCGTCGTCGTCGTCTTCGTCCTCCTCCTCCTCCTTCTCCTCCTCCTCCTCCTCCTCGTTTTCCTCCTCCTCCTCCTCCTCTTCCTCCTCCTCCTCCCCAAGACCACATGACCGCAAATACTGCAATCCGAGGACCGTAATGCCGTGACGCAGAACAACGGCGAAATTCATCGCAACAAGGACCTTGCCATGCGCAGTGCGGATGTTTTGAATGCAAGTGCTACGTGGGAGTGGTTGGTAGTTTCGGATCTCCAGCCTCATGGGGACCGCTTTGTGGTCGTCTTGGGTTACGGGCATCTTGAGCACGCGAAAAACAAAATGCAACTGGAAGCGAGTAGAGAAAAACGTTGCTTGTGCATGATTAATTCCGACACAGTGTTTTTGTTTTTACATTCGGGGGCTCTCTTTTTGTGTTCAGTAATTTGCATGCGTCTCTGGGTATCCTCCCATGGGCGCCTCGCGGTCGCTTCGTGCGCTGGCTGGCGTTTCCGAGTTGTCTTGCTTGATCGCCGCCCGCAACCGCCTCGTGATCGTCCCGTGCGTTGGTCGGACACAACTTGCACTACACGGTATCGTCGAGGCCATCGACGCGTGGACGGAAGAGCTCATCGCAGCGGCAGGCGCAGAAATGCTGGGCCGAGAAAGTCGAGGAGGCCCAACACGTGCTGATCGCGCCGCATTCCAAGGCCCCCGGGCAGTACACTGACTTCGAGATGTCCGAGCAGGGAACGGACGCAGCCATCGAGCACCGCGACGCCTTCAAGAAACCGCCCGACAGCTCGGCGCCATTGAGCCCGACGAAGAATGCCCGTCCGAGCGGCAATAAGACGTTCCAATTGGACGGCCCGCCCCGCGGACTCCTGACGACGAGGCGGGTCGAGCGCGCCTCGCGCGAGATCCGAGGCGTGGACCCGGCAGCGGTAACCATTGCGAAGCCACGAGCAACAGAGGCCCATTGGCCGAAGGACCCGACGCGCCAGAGCCTAAGCGTAATTTCGAACACATTTTCGCGACAGTCCTTGCCGCGTACTCTTGCGATCGGACATTTTGCTTTGATCCGAAGATCTTCGGCGCCCGTCGCCACGGAGCCTTTCTCGCGAGCGATTTCGAAAAAGTCGCCCGTGCAGACTTGGTACCTTTTGGAAGGCAACCTTGCAAGGCAAGCGCTCGGCGCGCGACCGGACCTCGAGAGCGCGGGCTAAGGAGGTCAAATTCAGTATTGACATCATCAATCTCACCATAACATTCCCGTCATTTTCTTGGCGGGGGAACGCTTACTCAGCATTCCCCTCTCTTGATCCTGATCTCCATTTTTGCTTGGAGTCTACGGGCGGTTGACATATAATTTGAGCTGGATTGGGCCTCGTATAAGATTCTGTTCGTGTTTTGAAAACATTATGGCTGCGATGGAACATTATGCCTCCGCCTTGCCAGGTCGGTGACCTGGAGTGCGTGTGAGCATTCGTGTGGGTTTCCCTTTTTCTCTCTTTTTTCTGTTTTCTTATTATTTTGCTAGGCCGGCATTTTTTCGGTGATGACCGTAGTATATGCCGACGATACTTTATTGCTGGGCCCAAACGAATAACGTTCAGCGATCGCGGTGGTAGGGGAAGATATCGGCATGGCATTGTATTGGAACAGGTTCCAATTGGTACAGAAAGGTTGCGACTTTTTCGCTTACGAGATCCAAGTGGGAACATTATCAAATCAGCTGAGTATCTTCTATATTTGGGGGTAACTACATACAACGATGGAAGCTTCCTGTACGAACTCAACAAACGATTCGGGGCCGCATAGGACGAATGCCAAAGATAGGCGAGAGCATGGAAACATACGTCAATATCTTTACAAAGAAAATTTAAAGTATCTGGGGCGCTAATTACAAACAAAAGTATGTACTCTTTGAATCCAGCCTGGCTGAACAAACGAAAAAGATAGAGCTTAGATGAATCCCAAGCGCGCTGCCTTCGCCAAAACATGAATATTCCTAATTCGCACGCGTCAAATGAAACAGTTTTGTTCGGAGCCGGGGGGCTTAAAATGACAAAACGAATAAAACAAAAACGGAAGCGACACGATTTTCTAAATAAAATCCGAAGGGGGGCGCGTAGGACACGATTAGGCGCCAGGGGGTCTGAACGAACAGGGGGCTGGGACGGGCAGTCACGACCTTCGCCCCCCTCCCGCCCTCAGGACTGGAGAGGAGGGGGGTCGTGACCTTCGCCCTTGCCCGCGGGAGCCCTCATTCGCACGCGAACAGGGGATTGGTACGAACGTTCACGACCCCCCCCCCCCAGCCGCGGCCGCGGCTGAGTGGACGCGGGGTCGTGATCACCCGCACGTGGGAGCCCCCATTCGCGGACCCTTCCCGTCTCATTTCCGTTCCGTTTCCTTCCTTCCGTCCCCCTCTTCCCCTCCCTAGCCCCGTTTCCCCGTCCCTTCCCCTCCCCTCTCCTTCCCCTTCCTCGCAGAGAGGGTGTCGCCTTTGTCGTGCGAGCGCAGCCAGCCAGGGTAACTGCGCTCAAGTGAGCGCTCGGCGGCGAGCGGCCAGGGGTAAAGAATCAGCGCCGTCCTCGTCGTCCTCCTCCCCCACCCTTAGGGTCCCCCTCCCTCCGTCCTTGTCCTCGCGGAAGCGGAAAAAGAAAAGAGGGAAACAACAAAAAAAGGTAGAGGCTGGGCGAGGGTAGTGGAAGTTCACGATTTTTTATTGAAACCAAACAATCCGGGCGAAAATCTTAATCGGGGCGTTCCTCGTTTCTGGGGGATGGGGCGGCGGGGAAAGGGGTGGCATGTTTGAAATCATGCGGTCACAGGAGTATGGTTTGGGAAAATAAGAAGATCAAACATTGACGATTTGTTGAAACCATTCACTTTTCAACCAAACACCATACCACCTCCCATCGACTCGTGCATTTGGGCCCCCAGACGTCCAAGGCACGCGTGGGCCAAAAAAATACACAATCAAATCCGATCTTGTTTCCATTAAGAATCAGACTTGTTGGATTGCCTCACAAACGAAATTATTTGGATCGCATTTGTTACGAACCCTGCTTGCTATTGGCCGCCACTCACGACAACGATGAAGAATGGCTGTAATAATTATTGATTGCCTCTGTACCGTGGCAGGTTGCATAACAAATGCTTAATCTTCCTCCTTTCCTCCGTCCTCCCGGCGCGCATTTGGCGCCTCGTTGCCGTTTTGTGCGCTGCACGCATTTGGTGTCTTTGCTGGCGCGCATTTGGTGAGTCGTTGTTCCCGCCCCGTTTTCCTGCCCACGCGCATTCTGCGTCCGGGTGCTTGCTTCATTCGCTCGTTCATCAATGTTCGCTCGCTGCGTCCGCGCGCTCGCCATCAACGACATTGGTGGTGGCTGTTTTGAATTTGTTTTGCCGTGGGGGAAACATGAAATGCTGTACAAGTTTGACATTGCCATTGCAAAGTTCTACTTTAAGTGGATCGAGGCGTTTTTTGCGCAATTATGAATTATACACCGATGGGTGCGCAGAAGCTCGGCGACCAGGAAAATCCGCACACGCGGCGGAAAATGACCGGCAGCAACCGTTTCAGAAAAAGTGCACAGCAGTTTCAGAAAAAGGCCGGTTTCAGAAAAAGGGCGTGCAGTTTCAGAAAAAGGCTGAGCAGTTTCAGAAAAAGGGCGCGCTGTTTCAGAAAAAGCGTGGGAGGTTTCAGAAAAAGTCCGCGCGATTTCAGAAAAATGCCCCACCCCCGATTTGTTGCCCGGGCCCCCGGGCCTCGGCCCGACCTTGGACCGCGGGCCCTGGACTTTTGCACCCGGACCCCCGCCGTTTTCTTTCTGAAACGGTCGTTGCTGCATGGCCGTGCTTTGCTTCGGGAGGAGCGCGGAGGAGGCTGGAGGAGGCAGGAGGACGGGGGAGTGGAGCGGGCGTGAGTGAGATTGGGAGGGTTGGATTCGGGAGAGGCGCGGAAGGAGTTCGCCTCCTCCGGCTCCGACTCCGGCTCTGGATTTTCGTCCGACTCCGATTCCAATTCGGTCTTCCTCCGATTCCGACTCCGATTCCGACTCCCGTTCCGGCCTCCTCCGGCTCCGACTCCGGCTCCAGATTTTCGTCCGGCTCCGACTCCGATTCCCGTTCGGTCCTCCTCCACTTCCGACTCCGATTCCGACTCCCGTTCCGGCCTCCTTTGGCTCCGACTCCGGCTCTGGATGTTCGTCCGGCCCCGACTCCGATTCCCGTTCGGTCCTCCTCCACTTCCGACTCCGATTCCGACTCCCGTTCCGGCCTCTTTTGGCTCCGACTCTGGCTCCGGCTCCAGATTTTCGTCCGGCTCCGACTCCGATTCCCGTTCGGTCCTCCTCCATTTCCGACTCCGATTCCGACTCCCATTCCGGCCTCCTCCGACTCCGGCTCCGGATGGTCGTCCGGCCCCGACTCCGATTCCCGTTCGGTCTTCCTCCACTTCCGACTCCGATTCCGACTCCCGTTCCGGCCTCCTTTTAGCTCCGACTCCGGCTCCGGCTCCAGATTTTCGTCCGCCTCCGACTCCGATTGCCGTTCGGTCTTCTTCCAATTCCGATTCCGATTCCGACTCCCGTTCCGGCTTCCTCCGGCTCCGACTCCGGCTCCGGATGTTCGTCCAGCCCCGACTCCGATCCCTGTTCGGTCCTCTTCCACCACTTCCGACTCCGATTCCGACTCCCGTTCCGGCCTCCTTTGGCTCCGACTCCGGCTCCCGCTCCAGATTTTCGTCCGGTTCCGACTCCGATTCCCGTTCGGTCCTCCTCCAGTTCCGACTCCGATTCCGACTCCCGTTCCGGCCTCCTTTGGCTCCGACTCCGGCTCCGGATGTTCGTCCGGCCCCGACAACGATTCCCGTTCGGTCCTCCTCCATTTCGACTCCGGTTCCGATTCCCGCTCTTCTCCCACCCTGGGCCAATTCTTCCCATCCCTCCAGCCCCCTCGTCATTCGACTGACTTTTCCATGTTTATCCCAACTCCCGTAGCGCGCGTGCGCGCCCGAATGAGAGCGCGCGTCAGCCGCCGGCCACCTCCTTCTGCACCCCGAGCCGCAGCGGCTCCGTCACCTCCATATCGGGCGTCATGAAGAATATGTTGTCCAGTTTGGCAAGGATGAAAGTGCATCGCGTCCTGGTCTGCATTAAGGGCACGTCTAGCAACTGAGCCACTAGTAAATGGCAAGTACGGGGGTGCCCCTGGGGGCGAGCAGCGTTGTCAGCACGGCTTTCCCGCTTTGGACGGCCTCCTCGATGTCGTCGTCGCTGGGAGCGCCCTCGCCCACCAGGTCGAGTGAGTCCGCGTCTTCGTACATCACCAATTCCAGCTCGCAGTCTGCGTCGATCGGGGTGTCCGTGCACACGACTTCCCCGGCGCCGTCCCCGGTGCCGACTTGCGCCAGCTCGAAGCGCGTACGTAGGTGCCCTGAAGGGGCAGGCGCTTGCATTTCTCATCACGCCCGCGCGCGTTCGCGCGAACGCGCGCGGACGCGCCGCAAACCACGCCCGCCAATCAGGGGATTTACCCACCCGACGATCAATATCAAGCCCTAGCACTCATATTCCTCTAGCTGGGCCCAAAGGGGGCACGGGCGCGGTGTCGCCTGAAGGAGCGTTTGAATGCGTTACGGTCATTGGGTATTATTGACAACCAACGTGATGGAGGGCAACAATCGGCTTCATCAAGGACACGCCGGAGAAGGGAACCGTTACGACAAACCGTTCAACCACATCGTGAACCAATACGACATGAAGTCCCACCCACTACGGTACCAATCGGCACGCCTGTGCAATTCGCCCCTGCTCCCCCCATGCCTTACCCCTTCCAGCACCCCATCCCCATCCCTTCCTCCCACCTTTCTGCGCCCCAGACGTTATTAACCACAGGGCCTCTCATTAGCCCTGAGAGCGTCCAAAAGAGCAGCCCTACGCAGCCACCAGAACCGTTACCACCAGGGAGGGCAGAATACGATCCCCCGCCGTTGGTTTCGGCACCGACGCGTCCGCTACCTACACTCTCAAGTCTTGCCCGATTCGCGCCAACACACCTACGAGTACGACGAGGGAAGAAGCTGCGTCCGCTCTTCAAGTGCTCGGCATGCTGCCAAAGCCTCCAGAGGAACCAGCCTAACCCATCCCCCTGGCATGCAATCTAATCATGCCGCGGACCTTCAATCCTCAATCCCCGCCCCCCTTATCCCAACGCGACCGCCTCCCAACGTCCCTACTGACGCCCACGACGTGCAAGGCTTTACCGCGCCAGACCCAGATCAGGTGTCGCTAGGTATGGCAGTGGAACTACCTGAGCTTACAGATTCATACGAACGAGCCGTGGGTGCACTACGTACACTGGGAATGCTTGATGGTGAATCAGATCCGCTTGTTCCCCCAGTGATGGGAACCTTGCTTTCAGCAGTGGAGCATCTGGCCCGGTGCCAAGACCGCCGACCCCGGTCACAGGCAGGCCGACGCCACCTGGCAGTCCGTTACCCCGAGATCAACCCGATGGCATGTCAATGTGCGACATGGGGGCCATGAGTGATATTGAAGATGACGACGATCGCGACGGCAGTACACCGCCACACCATTCAGGACCTGCATTGCCAGATCATATTGTTCCAACGGGCAGGGTCCGATCAGCGGTGTACATATTGATGGAAAAATTGGACAGCATAACGTTCGGCATACCCAGAATAGAAGTCCGCGGCAAGATCCAAAAATTACGATGGTCTTTCTTCCATGTGCCGTTGATTTGGGCAGCGGCGCGACAAGAAGAGAATCCACCCATATTGGATTGGATGTGTCAAGTTCTCGGTATCTACGGCAGTGACATCCATGGTGTGAACGGGGTAAGGGGAACCAGGAGTCCGGGAACTCAAGCGCCGTATCACTGTTTTTGATCGTGGGGAATGGGATATTCTCTTGGAGTCCGCTCGGAAACAACAATATCAACAAGAGCACCGTCAACGACGCCGCCGAGAAAGCAGAACAACGAATGCGAATAGAACTACATTGGATCGTCAATTGGAACATGCGACAAAGTTGGTAGAGGCAGGGAAACTTAGTCACGCAGCTCGGAGAATACTCGTATCGTGCACCCCACATGCCCGCACTCAATCCTCTGCGCGAGGTCCGGAGGACGTTCGCGAGTAAATTTCTATCCAACGTCACAGGCTGATGCGGACGAAGTGTTTGTATATTGTCGGGGAGTGGCTCTACTGGGTCTCTCGGTCGGAGGCGTGGGTCACTAAGTTGGTCTATGATTAGAGGATGCAACCGCATGCGATCTATTGTGCGATGTGGCGGAAAGAAATATACCATATTGTATCTCACGTGCTCTGCGGATTTCCTCGCTTACGGCGTTGAGTAAACCAGACAACAAAGTGAGGGGAATTGCTGCAGGAGATACATTACAACGGTTGGTATGTAAAAGTTTGGCAAAACAATTTCAAGACGCATTGCGGCAAACAGTGGAGCCGCTCAATTTCGGTATTGCCACCCGCAGTGGCACTGATGCGGCGGTGCATTTACTGCAATATTTGACCGACGCGTATCCAGACAAAGTGATATTGAGCATTGACAGTGTAGGACCATTTGACCACGTCAGCCGGGCCCGAATGTCGAACAATTAATGGCTGTGCCCGGTTTGCATGGTTTGGTCCCTTTCGTGCGACAGCGGTACGACGAGCGCTCTGAATTCCGGTGGGTGGACGAAAAAAGAGACTCCCATGCCAGGTTGCCACCAGGGACAGAAATACTTGCATATCTAGACGATGTGTATGTGGCCTGTGATCCAAATGACGCTGCGTATATCTTGCAAATGGTGCAAGAAGCATTGCAACGTATCTGCCATATTGAGCACGTTGGGAAACTTGCCGTATGGGGTAATACCCCGGCACATTGTCCACCCGACTTGGCGCAGATCGCACCTGACGCGTGGAAGTGTGACGCACCCGGAGTAAGGTTCTCGGGACACCGTTTGGTAGCGAAGAATATGCACAGGCACTCGGTGAGAAAATTGCCGAAAAGATGGCGAAGCTATTATACCTACCTAAGTTCCCCTCTTTACATATTGTTTGGCTTTTACTTTTTTACTGCGCAGTACCGCGACTGAACCATCTCTTACGGAATATGCCGCCAGACAGGGTACAGATACTTGCGACCGACCACGACATTGCGATACTCGACGTACTTCGACAATTGCTGGGACTCTCTAATCGGTCGAATTGGGATGAGTTTTACACGGAATTGGATTCGACAATTGGGTTGCGCAAGCCCGTCTGCCATTACGCTTGGGAGGGCTGGGTCTACGGAATTCTTCACGCACTGCCGCCGCAGCGTACTGGGGCAGTTCGGCTGACGTTTTGCCGAATTTGGTATCGAAGTTTCCCACTCTGGGCAGGAATATTCTCTTCCATTTTGCAGCCGACCGGGCAGGAGCGCAACAAGTCCCCCGATGTCTCGCAACAGCAGAACAGGCAGGCGCGACTTGAGACGCGCAAGGGTGGACCGAACGCCCCTCATGGGCTCACATTGCTGCTGGGGCCCGACCTCCAGAACCTGCTGTAACAGACGGGCCCTTCCTTGGGGAGTGGAAACACGGGTGGCAATTTTGCGCTTCCTCTGTCATCGAGAACGCGGCTCACAAACAATTACTGCGAGATCTAGCGTTGCCAAACCGCAGGGCCAATGCTATTTCAACAGGCAAATCGCGATTATTCTCAAGCATGGGACCTTTCGCGTCAGGTTGGTTACTGGTGTGCCCAATTTGTGTACAACTGACGCTGACCAATGATGTTTTGCAGTGTGCATTGCGCCGACGGCTCGGCATTGGGGTTACACTTGATACGCAGGACCTGCATGGTCACGCAGTGCTTGCGACTGTCCTTGGTGGGCATACCCATGCACGCCATACCGACCTTATTGCCGCTTGGAGACAAGTATTGGTGGAAGGGGGGAGTTGCACACCAGACCGCAACATTGAGCGGTTTCTGAATACCACCCATATTCCAGTGCCCCATGGGGATATGCGCCGGATGGATATCATTGCGCCGTGCTTACATGTTGCGCACGGTTTACCACTTTTCTGTGATGTGACGGTGGTTTCGCCTATCTCAAAAAATGGCATGCCAAGATCAGGAACAAGCAATTACGGAGGTAAACTGTTGCAGCGTGCGGAAATGGAGAATGACACCATTTACCATGATGTTGTGAGTAGTGGTTTAGGGGCGCTTCGTTGCTTAGGTTCTGAGGTGTACGGACGCTTTGGCACGCAAGCTGCCGAGCTCCTCCCGGCGCTTGCCACAGAACGTACCCGAGGCATTGATGCTAACCTTCGCAAGGGTTTAGCGTTGGGGCTGCTCCACAGATGGGCGGGCATCTTAGGGGTAGCTTTGCAACGGGCGGTGGCAAGGTCAATTTTACGCTCCTCCTCCTCCTCCTCCTCCTCCTCCTCCTCCTCCTCCTCCTCCTCCTCCTCCTCCTCCTCCTCCTCCTCCCTCCTCCCCTCCTCCTCCTCCTCCCTCCTCCTCCTCTCCTCCTCCCTCCTCCTCCTCCTCCTCCTCCTCCTCCTCCTCCTCCTCCCTCCTCCTCCTCCTCCTCCTCCTCCTCCTCCTCCTCCTCCTCCTCCTCCTCCTCCTCCTCCTCCTCCTCCTCCTCCTCCTCCTGACGCTGCTTAGCCGCCCCGCTGGCCCTCGTTTTAAACGGTTTTCGGGCCTTTAATGTTCTCTTGTTTCACCCCGCTGTCACCGTCGTCTCCGCCGCTGCGTTGTGCGGGGGAAAAAAAAAAAAAAACAAAAAAAAAAAAAAAAAAAAAAACGCGATAGAGAGACGCGCGACTCCCCCGCGCGACCTGGCAAGCGTCCTCTCGGCCGCTAGGTGCTCGGCCACTGCGTCGTAGATCACGCGAATGGCCACGGGGGGGGGCAAGATCCCACGGCATCTCTTGCTCCTCCACCTCAACGAGGACGGTCTCCTGATTCCCCGCGTTCTCGATCGGCACCACTGCTGCTGGAGGCGGGGTCGCGTTTGTCCGGCCACGGCCGCGGCCTCGCCCAAAGTTCCCCCGGCACTTGCCTCCGTCGGCATGGTCGCGCCCTCCGGCGCGACCACCTCTCCCCCCGCCTCCGCGCCCACGACCTCCGGCAGCCTTGTGTGGAGCACCCGTCCGCGACCGCACTCCTCGCGCAATTCCCGCGTCGCGTCGGCCGCGGGGAAGATCACCGTGATTTACATCAGTGACTTGTTCTTGTAACCATAACGAGTGCCCCGTTTGCCCATGAATCGCGAAATCCTGGCTGAACTCGTAAATGCCCGGGTCCGCCCCTGCGCACCAAGCCTCGGTTTCCGGAGCAGCCACGCGCGTCAGCACCTGAGCAACGAAAGAGAGCGAGGGCGCGAAGCGGAGATGGCGCAAGAAAGAAAAAG